GCATAAAAACAGAAGTAGACAACCGAATTAAAATGGCAAACAAGTGTTTCTTTGGACTAAGAAAGCAATTAAGATCAAGCCTAATCAGTCGAAAAACCAAAATTAAAATTTATAAGACTCTTATTCTACCTGTATTGCTCTATGCAAGTGAAGCATGGACACTAAACGCAGACATTCAGCATACTCTTGGTGTTTTTGAAAGGAAAATCCTTCGAAATATTTTTGGCCCAGTACAGGAAAGAGGCTGTTGGCGAATCAGATACAACTTTGAATTATATAGACTCTATGGACAACCACAAATAGTGCAGGTCATCCGAAGCAATAGATTAAGATGGCTTGGCCATATCTGGAGAGGTCCAGAAAACAATGCAGTACGAATCGCCACCTTTAAAAATCCTTCTGGATCTCGGGCCAGAGGAAGACCTCCAACTAGATGGCTGGATGACACTTCTAAAGATCTCAAAGTAATAAATATTAACAACTGGAAAAAAGTCGCCATGGATAGGAGGAGTTGGAAGCTACGCATTGTTGAGTCAGCCAAGGCCTGTAAGGGGCTGTCGTGCTGAAGAAGAAGATATTGTTTAGCAAAAAGATTTGTCATAGCTGCCAACTGTTCAGAATTTTTCGGATTTGTTACTAATTTTGAAATCAAATCTGAAAATCTGATATTTTTATAAAAAATCCGAATTTTCGTTCAATTGCAGTATTTTTGCTTTTAAACCAATCCCTTGTTCTGATCGCTACAAGCGCGCTTCCTGTGATTATTGTGCAGAAGTAATTTTTAGTATCTTTTTATTGGAAAATACTCTTCCAATAGCTGTTGCTGATCATTTCACTAAATTGAATCTTAAACAACTATTATTATTTATTTTAAAAATGTAGTATTTAAGCAGCTTCATCAGAAATATTTGTTTATGATTATTATTTACTTGTGTTTTATAATTTGGAGAAGAATAATTATATATAAGGTAATGGTTGTTTTTAAACTATTATACCAATATTCCTAATTATAAAATATTATAAATTTCCCATCAAAGATAGTGTTTATAGTTTTGTTTTACTAACTTACATAAGGTATTTAAATATATGTCTATTAATGCTATTATTTAATAGATAAATTTTTGTCTTACTCTTGTAATTGGTGCGTATAATTTTGTCGCATATAGTGTTCCTAATTGTTTATTCCTAAGGTTGGCAGCTATGATTTGTAATTCTTTATTTTTATCAGGACATAATCGGAAAAGCACTAAGGATTCCAAATTATTATCCAAATATCAAACTTATTTGCCAATTTCCAAAAATCTTCACCAAATGTGAATCTTAATTTTTATGATTAGTTTTTATGATTAATTTTTTCCCATAGAAAACTATTTTATGATAGTTTGTTTTAGGCTTATATTATTTGGTCCCAATTGTAATTGGTTTCACTGCGCATCTTCCAAAAACAGTACAGTACCAAAAACTACTGTAATCGAATAAAAATCCTGATTTGTTTAGAAAAATACATTTTGACATAATTTTGAGGATCGGGTTAAGTATATTTTTTCTTTCCAATGGAAAAAATTATTCGCCAAATTTACAATTTCATCGCATTTGACAAGGTGGCGAATGCTTAGCTTGAGCCCTGATAATGCATCGTTAATATTTCTTTGAAAATCTAAAATTGTGTTGTTTTTTTTTTTTTTTTTTTTTTTTTTTTTTTTTTTTGTCTATAGGCTTTGCAACAAACCTTAAATAAGGATATGATGACAGGTATTTCTTCAAACACAACTGGATTATTTCAAGAAACAACTGGATTTGAGAATAGCGTGACAAGCTTTAGTTCAAACTCTTTAGACTTAGTACTGCAGGAAATAAATGAACTTGTTGATGGTATGTTTATACTAATGCTGTAATTTATTTAATTCCTGTCTGCTGCTCTATCATTGCCATTTCAAATGATTAAGAAATGTTGCATTTACATGACTAATTTTAAACTATTTTTTACTAAATATTTCTCTGTTAAATTTAATGAGTATCATTTTATTTGGCATTGTTTATATGTACAGCAATATCAAAAAGCTTAATTATTTGTATCTCAAGGTCACTTCTTAAAAAAGTTGGGATTTTTCTTAATAGTATCACAAAATGATTTTTTTTCTTTACCATATCAATTTTTGCCACAGATTATGCAAAATGTGTGGTTTTCACATTGTTCTATTCAACGCTTTCACAATTCATTCTACCACAATCCAGTTTGGCATACCATCGGTTCATAGCGTATTAAAGCGCCAATCATTTTAAATGTTTGATGAAATACTTGGGTGTCTGCGTGTGTGTATACTGAACTGGATTTGTTGGAAAGGATTCTTATAAGCAACTCTGCTGCATTTTGCCAGAGATTCTCGATTTCAGGCTTCATTTTCCGCTCTCTGAAATCGAATTTTTGTTAATCACAGGGACCAATTAAGCATTGCCAATTTTTTTTCCCTTAAAAGCAAAAGAAAATTTTATTTCTCTTGTTAATTTCATCGTTGATGAAGCACCACTGTCTTCATCCCTGGCAAGCTAATGACCTCGCACTCTTCTATTTATAAATCAGTACCATAATCCTTGAACTTAACTTAGGGATCATTCACTTACATATTTTCATGTGGATCCCCAAAGTAGTAAAGAATCACAAAATTCAAATCTCATAATTTCCATCATTATTTCAAATTTGTTAAATATGAGTGTCGGGACTGTATAATAATTTAGTTCCAATAAAAGTATTTAGCTTCAATACTCATTGTATTTACATATCAAAATAATTTTGAAAAAATTTAGGCATTTCATTAAAGAAATACTAAATTAAGTTACGACTTTTAATAAAAATTTATTTGAGGCCATTCACTAATTTACATTTGTGATATGAATTTATTAAGGTTTTCTTAGTTCGCTTAATTCTTTACGTATCTTTTTAAATTCGATATTATCAATAATGGTCATCTTGTTGTTGAATAGGCTTTTATAAATAACTCAACCTTCCTGTCCAAAACCCCTTTATCTTAAACTGTCCAAAACCCTTTTACTCAAATTATGTCACAATTTTATCTGAACAATATTTAAAAGGTAAAATAAAAATAATAACATATTGGGGTCATTCTCGCTGAAAAGGTATAAGTAGATTAAAAAATTTTCTTAAATTAAAATAATTGAAAAATTGATAAAAATTACATAAATACCTTTATTTATTTTTGTTATATGTCCTTATAATAATGGTCAAGTTTTCTATTTTATTTTTTAGAAGATTTAAAATATTTCAANAATGTAAAGACTATTGAAATAAAGATTCAGACTCCACATGAAAGTTAAAGGCCATTAAACATGAAAATTTAACAGCCATTAAAAATTATTTTGTGTCACACACATAGGGACGTCAACGGAGGGGATTTTGAAGTTATGTTTATTAAAAAAATAAGAATGAAATATTAAATAAATTTAGCAGAAATGCATATGATTGGTTAGTTAGAACTTTATGAAAAATGATGAAGAAAAATATTAAGAAATCTGCTGTATTTCCTAATATTTATTACTAAGGGACTTAAAAAAACACCTTTTTGTGAGAATGACCCATTGATAATGAAATCTACTAGAGAATATTTGTTTTTAAAAGTATAATGTTTTATTAATATTGTTTGACTCTTCAATTTAAAATTTAAACAAAGGAAGATTAATCAGTAATCAAGTTCAATTGGTCCTATCATTCAATAGTACTTGTACATAACTGAAGTTTGACCTTGTTAAGCTATTAGGGACTTAGTGCTTGCTTAGTCATAAACAGGTTTATTTATCTTTAGTACTATTCAAGAATACTTTTATTTCATTCATGTTCCATTCTTTTAGCATAGTGGTGATACATCACCAGTGTCAGTAACTGAAACTGATGTTATGCCCTTCAAAACTGTTAATACATTTTTCAGTTATTTTGTATTTCCAATTTAAACTAATATATTTATATTTAAAAACATTTTTTTTTAAATAGATGTCTTTTTTTATCATCCTGTGATGCAGAAATTATAAACATTTTTTGAAAAAATATTATGAAAAAAAAAGGATAATTTTTAAACAAATTAAGTATTTTTTTAAAAAAAATTATTATTATTAATATTGCTTTATTTATCCTTATGCAAAAACATTATTTATCAGTATTAAAAGCATATTTATATTTAAAGGATTAGGTATTCACTTTTGTCGTTCAGTGAATTGTGGAGCTTCAAAAATTATAAACCTCTTCCTATTATATTATATTATTTTCCTTTAATAAGTTGAAGTAAATTGTATGAAAAATATCAAATATTTATTGATACATGTAATTATTTTGTGTACAATGGTTACACATATAGAATTTTTACCTTTTACCAAAGTTCAAGGTTTTAGACCCTTTAAGACAGTTTTATCCAGTTTAAGACAGTAAAACCCATGTGTCCTGTCCAAAACCAGTTTAGGATGTCCAAAACCCCAACCCTGAATAACTTTTATTCAAATCTAAAAAATACACTTGATAACCTTTTTAAATAATAGTTAAATTAATTATAATTTTGAATGTAATTTTTTTTACACAATAGTATAAAAGTGTAAAGTAATTATTTATTTAAAAAATAGAATGTGATCCACTTAATCAATTGAATATATTTAAAATTATGCATAAATTGTTTTTATGGTGGCTAATATAATGAAGAAAAGAATTCTTTTTCAAAAACTAGTTGTTTTATCTTGATAATATAACTTTGAAAATTATTTTACACTTTGTTAAGATGTACGAAAAACTTTCAAACATATGAAGAAAAAAAAATTTTTTTCAATCCTTAAAATGTGCTTATTTTTTGTTGAAAAATTTGGCTACACATCCTGATATATGATTAGTTCAGGTAACCCCAGAGGTAGGAAAAGCGTTTGCAGAAGATCATGTTTTAAATCAATCAGTATGACAATAAACTTTTCAACTGTTTTAGTTGAACAATTAATAAGTTAACTGAATCATTGAACCTAAAGATTAACTAGTTAATTTGATATAATTGAGTGTATTAAATAAAAACAGTTTGTAGCTAAACAGTAAAGGTCACATAATTACTGATACTAATAAAATCAAATTAACCTTGAAAAATAATACAATAAGCTCCATTGCTTTTATTGAAAGTTAGGATAATCTTGAGCTTTTAAGAAAGCCTAAAGCTTTGATGCAAAATGATCATGATGTTAAAAGATACTTATTTTATGTATAAAATATATTTAAGTGTGGTAATAATTTATATTTTAACACATTGCTATTCTCCTTACAAATAGTAATAGTTTAAAAATGTTGTAATTGAATGTTCTTTAGAAAAACTTTATTTCCTTATTTATTTTTAAGCAGAATTATTAACATTTCTCAGTCTAATAAACATTAAAAATTTAAATGATTTTGGGCATGAGTTAAGACAAAACTCTTTAGGCACCATGATGACCATATTCTTGAGATTTTTCTGCACCTACTCACTGTTATTGTACTTATAAATAGTAATTATAGTATATTGACTCAGTTTTTTTACAAATTGATCAAGTATAAGCATAAATACCAGTAGTCCTGTGGTCAAGTGACCACCATCTTTGATGACATCGTGGCTTGAAAATGTACCATGTTGGGGATGTCTGCCGAAGCCCAGAATGCTTTCAAAAACTTCAACTAAACATTTCTGAAACCTCATTCTCTCTACCCTACTCTACTACAGAAGGGTAATCAGGTCCAGGACTATGCTATTTATTAACGCAGAGTATATTTATGCTAATGGAAGATAGTTAAATCAGATGCAAAATGCACTTTCGTTGAATAAACTTTTTTTTATTTCTAACCCTCAAAATGTAGGGGGTAGCTAAAATCTGGAAAATGCAGCCAGAAAATACTGTCATTTTAGAGAAAGGCAATTGAAGGTTTGAACCCATTAATATTAATTTCCTTTTTTTACATGTTTTGCTAGGTTTCGAGAACATTTTTAGTAAATCAAAAAATTTTTGGCACACAATTATAAAATTTGCTTGTCCAAAGTTGCATTACAATTAATAAAATTTGAATGAAATCTGTAGTTCTGAATGAATCGAACTTTTAGTATTCAAAATGGTCACTCTCTCTGGAAATGATCAAAATTGCAATCAACTTTGCAAATTCTCTAAGTATTGCTACTAATAAAATTATCACATTTCAACTCTATTGTTCATCTACTGGTTTCGATAACAATCGTATCTTAACGAGTGGTTACTATTATCATGTATTTTTCTTGATCTCAATTCTATTTTAATAAATAATTTTACATTTTCCACATTCTATTAAATTAGCATTTTTTGAATTTAAATTGATTTTTTAAAACAATAAGATGATTAGTATAAGCATTTTTAAAATCATGTTGAACTTGTAATAATTTAACGAAATTATAATTTTATACTTAATATTTTGTTATGAGCTCTACATTGCAATTTAAATGAAATATCAAAACAAAAAAAAACTTTAAAAATGTCTCAAATTTACACACTTCATATTACTTCAACTTTTAATTTTATCTTTTGTGATTTTTTAGAAGAAAGAAAAAAAATTGAAAATCAAGAGTTTCCTGAATTACCTGATAAGGTAGATGATTTGGAGACTGCCATTGCTACTGAACGCATTTTTTTGACACTACCTGATAAACTGTGGTTGATCTTGAAAAGTATGCTTAATTTTTCCTATTAATTTATCGTATAAAATGCACTTATTGTACAGTTACTTAATTTATTTACATATTAAGCAGGAACTTTTAAAACTTTCAAATTAAATTTTCAATCTTATAATTGAAAGTGAATACTTATATACTTCTTTAGAAACTCCTATTATTAAAGCAAAATATGTTCAAAATTTTAATAAGTGGTTGCTTGTGCACTTCATAACATTAAAAGATTTATACCTATTTCACTAAAACTAATCTGAGCTATTTAAAAAAAATATATAAATTTCTTCTTTTTATATTTTTTGTTCTTGCCAAAAATTGTAAAATATTTTCCAAAAATTTATAATTAAGACAAGGATTCCATTGAGATTAATTCAACAGGGTTCCAAAGTATCTGTCAAAATCTGGATTTTTAAAAAGAAGAAAAATAATGAAATCTCAAAAATTTTTAATTTGAAAAATTTTCTGCTGTAAAAAAAAACTTATGAAATATTTTTTTTTTTTTTTTTTTTTTTTTTTTTTTTTTTTTTTTTTTTTTTTTTTTTTTNTTTTTTTTTTTGTGTATTTTCTATTTGTGTATTTTAAAACCAAATTTAACTGTCTTAGTTTGATTCCATTTTCATAAAAGTCAAAATATTAGTTTGAAACCTAATGTTCAATTTTTGAAAAATTGGCATTTCTAGGGTTCTGTTTTCAAATTTATAGTGATGCATGGGGGATAATTTGACTCAAAGAAAATTCAGTTTTTTATGCTTTTGATTCCATTTGAGTACTAATTATATTTTTCACTCTGTTACTTAAGGAAATTATGTCAATTTATACTGGTGTACTGAGATGTTTCTTTATTATTATTATTTTAGGAAATTTTTTAAAAAGAATGGTCTTAAAGAGAATCTATGTATCAAGACACTATGTCAATAAAATTCTGGTCTATTTTAGTTTTATCTTTTATTTTATGTTATTGCTTATCATTTTCTTTTAAATATCTGATTGTTTAAATAATTTAACAGATTGTGCATCTTTTGAAGATTTGCTGAAAGCTATTCAACATATTTATAAAGTTTTTGCCCGACTGAATGTATTATCTCCACTTGTAAGTTTGTTTTAATTTTTAATTCTCAAATACTAGTCTCTTTTTTTGAAAAAAAGTATTAAAATTATCAACTTCTGATTAGTTATAATCCAATATTTTTACTAAAATGATGTGTCTCTATAAAAATTGTATTGATCATTGAAAAATTATTAGGAAAAACTTCTTTTTTTAAAAAAAAAGGGCTCTTTTATAAAAATGACACTATGAACTTCTATCTGATTGTGCAAAATATTTCGTCGTTTAGTAAGTTGTTAGAGTCTGTACAAAAGAGACGTAGTAAATTACTATAAATAATTGAGATAGTTTTTAATTAAAAAAAAATTACAAATATATATATATTAGTGTTAAGTAATTGTTAATTATGTAAGCTTTTACTTCGAATTAAATTATGTAATCTTTTAACTTCCAAAAGTTTAAAATAAGTCTAGTGAATAATTTATTGAATTTTTATTTCTTTTACTTTAAATATTTGTATACTTTTAAATATGGCTAGTTAAATCTTTCAATTATACAACATCAATTTTTCAACCTCTGAGTGTAGAATATTTGATAATTTTAGCAGAAAAAGGTTTAAAATGATATTTAAGCTTTTTATATATATATATACACAGTTGAAAGTCGCATATCCGGAATCGGTGGGACTTCCGAAAGTTCAGATATTAAATTTTTCCGTATAATAGACCCCAAGGTAAACAAAGCTTAAAACGATCTAATTTAACGATCTGAATCTAAGAAGCAAAAAATAAATAAGCATTCTTTTTTGGGCAATAATGTTTTAGTATTAGAATGATATCTAATCAATCAAAAACAAAATATTAAAAAAAAATAGTAATTATTTTTTAAAATATCAAAAACGAAAAAAAATTTGACAGTTATGAAAATATTAATTGCTCTCTCTCTCTCTCTCTCTCTCTCTCTCTCTCTCTCTCTGCCATTTTGAACTAGAACAATTAAAGCAAGAAGGGGAAATTCCCGTCATTCATTAAGGTGGGTAGGTGGAGGAGAAAAATTCATTTCCTCCTTATTTGTCATTCAAGTTGAGGGCAGGGAAGTGACAAATTCTTATTTTCTCTTTAATCATTGGCTATCAATGCTGATTGGTTTCTCTTTATTTTTTCTTGTGTGACTGAAAGTGACTCCCCCTCCACGTTAACATTTGCTGCGTTTACCGTTTTTCGCAGTATTTCTTCTTCCCTTAACACTCTAATAAAAAGGTTCCATGAAATGTCTCTTTTACTAGCCAGCTGCATAGGAAAGAAGGGGGGAGGGGGCTCAGTTGTGCTCTTTTGAAAACAAATCTCCCTCCTTTCCTGCATTCCAGAGGAAGAGCGTCACTCCACAGTCTTGGTAGATCTTCCCTTCCCCTTTCTGTTGATTTATGAGTTCAATCCATAAATCACTAGAGGCTATAAAAGGAAAAGACATGTCAAAAGATATCTTTTTTTTTTATAAAAAAAAAAAAGGAGAAGGGAAGATGTAGAGATGTTTGTTTATTTTGATTGTTAAAAAGTATCTGGGAAATCGACCCTTCCGAAAAAGGGACGCTCGGATATGGGACATAATACTGTATATATGTAGGTTGAAGAAGATAAAGTAATAAATGAGGGTACATTTTTTTGTTCTGTTCTTTTAAAAAAAGTAACTAAATACCTTAATCCACTAAGACTTCCAAAATTTAAAATCTTGGTAACATCACTGAGAAATCTTAATTCAAAAATATTTAGAATCTTCGTTTACTAAGCCTTTCAACTGGGAGTGCATTGTACATTTACATTCCATTTTCATCATTAAATTTAATTACCAACAAAATGCATGACATTTTGTTTCAATTAGCAAGTTAATACTGTAAGAACTAATAAGTAATTCTTCTGAACTATTTGTTCTGATGAGATAGCAAAACATCCAAGAAACAGGCGTTAACTAACCCTGTAAGACACCAAAATTATTCTTTTTCCGCCCTCAACAAATAGTATGAATTATTTATACTTTAATCATAAAATTTAAAGAAATCTATCATTTTTTCCCTCTTTACACTTTTGAAAAAGGGAACAGTATTATCTGCTTTCATAACAGATAGATTTGAGATTCATAACATATGGAAGCATTTGTAAATGAAAGGAAAGTATGGTTTCACTCTTTCTGGAAAGACGTTTCATGTTTTGAAAACTATACCATCTACTGCATTAGACAAAATTTACCATGATCTTCATTATGAACATTTAGCCTAAAATATGCCTAACATCAAAATTTGTTAATAAAGATGGGAAGTGATTTAGTAAGTATTTGGATGCACATGAATTTGAATATTCTAATTGTTCAGACTTGAAACAATACATATCTTGTAAATATGCATTTTAAACTTAGGTCAAAATTAATAAGTTAAAGTCTCAAAACATTAATTTTACTGAACTATCTTGAGCCTAAAATAAAAATTGATAAACTTTGTGAATCTGGCTGAGAGATGAGGTGTTTGCTTTTGTCATAATTATTTTTAAATATTTTAATTAAATAGCTTAATGGTTTTATATTATATACACACAAATGCACCTTTTTCCTAAACTACTCCTACCCTCCTAAGTGACCGAGCACTGACCTGGCAAAAAGTATTATTTACATGAAGAGGGTGAACTTTTGATTGCTCTCAGGTTGAAAAAACTTTGATCATATTTTTCAATCATGGCTTTTGCTATATTGCTAAGAGTTAAAAATCTGGATTTTTTTTAAGAAATAATATTCCTTTATCACAGAAAGTTTAAATTTGTGTCTGGAATAATGCTAGCATTTTTTTAACTCTCACCCCCCCCCTCAAATGAAAAAATTGCAAATTTGATTGTACCTGAAAAATCTGAGCATTATATCATAAATTATTCCAAGTGCATAATATTTTACTAATCAAATGTTTAGCACGTTTAAAGAAACGGCAAATCATATTTTCTTAATTTTTTTAGTCAGAAAATTTACAGAGGACAAAAAATGGAAAATTTTGGCTTATAATTGGTTGGTGTTATGTGAGAATGCAGAGGAATTGCCATGGATACTAAAGCAACAGTTTTACATTTGCTAAGTTGTTTTCAGGAAATTCAACAGAACTGCAAATTTATTAATTTTGAACAATGTAAATTAAAAAATTTGCTAATGTTTTAGCTATATAGTATATATTGCTAGTATATAGTTTTATGTTTTAGGCTTATAATAATGATTTGTCAACAATATCTAAGGATATAACCTCGATGTTCAACAAAAAACTTCACTGTACAGAACTCAACAAAAAAAAAGCTGCAGAATTGCTTTTGGAAATTGGTGTGGAAAAACTCCGAAGAGATTATTATGAATATTTTATTAGTAAGTTTGTTATTACTTTAAAAATATATTGTTGAATTAATCTTGGAAATTCTCATATTTCCTTTTCAATAAAATTTTCTGCAATACACTAAAAGTTTGACCATAACTCAAATCTATAGATCTAGAGTTATTCAAAGTGTTCACATTTTAATTTGCGTACTAAACATACAAATATATCCAAGCATTTTTCACCTATAATTGTTGTATGCTGTTTTATTCAGGGCATGGATTTATCACCCTAGATTTATTCAATCTCTTTACTCATTCTGAATTGATGTCTCCTGAAGCAGTTACTTGTTTAGAAAAACTACATTCTGTATTAGAACTTACACTTGTGTGTATGAAGCATCTTGAACTTCCTAGGAGCAGTATAAATAATTTTGTCAGGTAACATAAGATAATTATTTATTAGTAACCACATTATATTTAATTATTATTTTTAAAAAAATTATTAATACATCTGTTTTTAGGAAAGCTTTGGAAATGTATACAGCAGTTAAGGAAATAGACTTACAACACGTGTTTACATTTCACATTCCCGCCCGTGATATTCATCCTATACTAACTATGTAAGATCTTAAGCACTTTATTTTTAAATTTTCTCATACATTTTTAATATTTTATTATTTTTCCTCGTTTAGGATAGGACACATTATGCTTTATACATAAAATTAATGTTTATATCCTTTATTTTAAACAGGGTTCATCAACTAGAGGTAAATGTATTTTTTGCTTTTGAGAAATAACTCCAGCTTTGGGAAAAAAAGAAGAAGAAAAACTTATTTAAATTTCAAGTAAAAACTGAGTAGGCTACAACATGGATTTTTTTCTTTGCATTTTGTAAGAGAAACACAACTTTGAAAACACCAGGCTTAGAAAATAAAAGTTCAGAAATGACTGGCTCCAGTTAGAATTACTAAATGGCTGTGGCAAAAACAAATTAGTATAATTGATAATATAAAAAGTAATTCTTAAGTCAAATTTTTTTAGGCTACTCTTTTAACTTTCTTAACCTTCCCACAAAGTTCCCACAGCGTAAGAACACAGAATAAAGAGAAATACAAAAATAAAAACAATAGTTTATCCGTAATTATTCTAGTTGAGGCTTTCAGAAAGATTGTAATAGCAGGGTTGCCATGGGAGAATAAAAATTCAATAAGTAGTGACTAATAAAATTCAAATTTTCATTAAAAGAGAAAAAAATTAGCAACTTTTATGACATATATTTTGAGTTACTATTGAAAGTGAATAATGATAGCAATTTCTTTAAATATAAATAATTTGAAATGTACATCATAGTAATAGTTACAATAGTAATAGTTAGGTAATTAAAATAATAACTTATTAAAAAAAATGAATTGAGTTTCTACCAATTTTTGCATTTTTAGTTGCCTGTGGCATGGTGTACTAGTACACATTATCCTCTTAATTGATGAATTATCTTCATATTTGAATAATTTATTTATGCACTAAAAATTATTTTATTAAAATTTTATTATGTATTTACTTTCTTTTTTAAGAAGTTTTTATTAATTTAGATAATAACTCCAAATATTGCAATCCTCTGTATAACAAAATTTTCTCTTCAGTGAATTTTTACACAGGAACCAATTGATTTTGTTAAAAAGAGACTTCACACTAATGTATTTTAGTTCACTTTAAGTACTATTATAAGAATGCATAAATTACACAAAATAGTCTGCATTGCACATAAAATTCAGTGAATCTGAACCATTAGCAATCAATGAATCTCAGTCTTTTCTCAAATCATCAACATATTCTTCATGAATAAAATTTGGAGGATGTATTTTAGTTGTTTGATCATTGCTAAATTTAGGTATCAACTTTGAGTCTGTATATGCTTTCATTTTGTACGTTCAGTGTGTTTTATATATTTGTATATAAAATTAAAATTTGGAGCATTTTAACATGATTTCCTCTTTTTTTTTCTTTTTTTTTAATTGTCTAAAATATTTTAGGATGAGACCAGTTGTTTGGGATCTTTCTTTGAAAAGTGAACATAGAAATTTTATGAAACAAAGTTGCCATCACTTTGTAACAGCAGCTACTCATGATCACATTTATGCTGCTCAAAAAATCAGTAAGACTATTAATTTTTTCCTCCTTTTATTAATTTAATCTAACAATATTGTTTTCTTTGAATATCATCAAGTAGCTTCAGGTGGATAAATGCATAAAATATGGCATTATTAGTTATTTATTGTTAAGTCTGAGCCAAGTAATAAATTTTTAAAAAAATTTAATTGGGGTCATTCAATAAATTACATTAGTAAAATGAAAAACTATTTTTAAAAATAGTTAAACTAGTTATAATTTTGAATTAAAATTATATTTTACAAAATTAAGTAAAGTAATTATTAATTTAAAAAATAAACAGAGCTACTCAATATTGATTATATTTAAAACCGTGGATAAATTGTTTTTATGGTGACAAGTACAGGGCTGATTGTGCTCCGGGAAAATTCCGGATTTTTCACTAACAGTGATCCGGAAGTTTCCGGAGATCGAAGATCCAGACGTTTCAAAAAAATTATTGATCACAGAAGTTTCCGGAAATCAAATTTTCAGAGATGGAACTTAAAAACACAGTTTATTTTATTTGTTTGTAAGGGAGAGCCAGAGAGATACTTTGTAAGCTTATATTCATGATTAATATTCGTTTTTTATTACTAAATAGTTGTTATAGATATAAACTCAAGAAAGAAAGACATATTTGTAAATTTTAATTATTTCTCCAGGTTATCGTAGGTATGTGTAAAATTTTGAAGATATTTTAAGTAAACTAAGAAATATTGAGAAAAAGGAAAAAAAAACCTTGTTTAAATTTTTTCAGATTTTTCAATTTAAACTTTTTTTTTTTTTAAACTCAATAAATTTTCTGGAATTTTGACTGGGGCTCACAATCACCCCTGCTAGTATAATCAAGAGAAGAGTTCTTTGACAGAAACTAATTAATTTATCATGATAAAATAACATATTTATCATGATTTTTAAAAATAAAGTTCTTAAAATGTATTTATTTTTGATTAAAAATTTGTTTATGCGCCCTTTTCGTGCATTTTAAAAATCCAATATCGTGATTCATATTCACACGATTTCAATATGAAACATCAATTTATGTAATTCAAAAGTTACATATTGCAATTCATACTCGCGATTTAAAAATTACATCATGATTCAAATTCATACGATTTGAAAATTCAATGGTGTGATATGTATTTATGATACTTTAAAATTCAGCATTGCAATATTCATTTGGTGATTTTAAAATCCAACATAGAAAATCATATTCACGTGATTTTAATATATTAAATAATGCAATTCACATTCATGTGAATTCAAAATCAAACATCAAGATTCGTATTCAAACAATTTCATATATTAAGATTCGTGCTCATGCAATTTCGAATGCATCATTTGAAAACTTGTCTGATTACGATTAGAAATAGTTGTAAATAAATATATTTGAATTAAATATTCCATTCTTAATGTTTATTCTATACAAAAGTATTTTTACCTTTCTAATTGCCTAAAACGCTGTAATTATAATAATTTGAAAAAGAAGAGTAAAGGTGAATTATTTCAAATACAAATGATTTATTTTTACTTTAATTTGTTTTATACTTAATTCAAGTGAGTAACATTTCCACTTTTTTAAACATTTTTGTTTTTTTAATTACTTTTTCCCCTTGTTATTGTTTATTCCCCATCCCACCTCCACTTTTCTATGATTTTCGTCAAAATTCTAATTGGAGGTAAAATTTTGTATCAAGAAATTAAGTAATTCACATTCTTTCAATCACAATCTGATGTAGTAAATATAAAAGCTCCAATCGTATTTTGTAACTAAATTACATTGTTGTACATGTTTGTTTGTTTTTTTTTTTTTTTTTTGATCCTTTT